CTGTGTAACAGGATTAACCGTCAGACACATTGCAGAAATTCCAGTGATCAAACACTACTATTTCGAAGTTTGTGATTTCATGTATGTTTCACACCTCAGCTAACTCTGCCTGATAGATATTTCTGAAAGATGCTACATATATTCACATCCCACCCCTTCTACACCACTCACATTCACCTTCCTGTTGCTGATGCACATGTCTCCAGCATGATTCGCAACAATCCAAAATGTTGGCCATACTTTTGGGATGCTATTGGAGCCATCGATGGTAGCACATCCACACATTCCCTCCCTCAGCCAGCCACCACCTGTACTACAACCAAAAAGGTTTCATCTCTCAAAACTGTCTCTTCATTTGTGACTTGACCTTGGGTTTACCTTTGCACTGATGGATGGGAGGGATCAGCAACAGATGCATGGCTCTGGGGTGAAGCTCATATAATGGCTTGGATATCCCACCAGGAAAATATCTTCTTGCAGACCTAGGGTTCCTTGTGCCAACAACTTTTGGTCCCTTACCATGGTGTTTGTTACCATCTGGCCGAATGGGGTCATGCCAGTGTCAGGTAAAACTTAACAGTTCTCTTTTGTAGTCTGGCTCATCCAATAATATTTTTAGGCCTGTCAACAAGGAAGAATTATTCAATCTTCATCATGTGCCTGCTCACAATGTCATTGAACATATTTTCAGTGTTGTGAAGTGGCACTTTCACATCCTTTTAATATCCCCTGAGTACAAGATTCAAATTCAAGCTCACATTCCTGCAGTGCTATGTGCTCTACATAACTACATAAGTGTCCATGACCCAGGTGAAGGGCCTCTGCCTCAGAGAGCTGTCTTCAATGACAAGCCCACCTATCAAGGGCAACCTGACGAAGCACATGATGGTATGATTGTTGGCGATGATGCAAATGCAAACACATTTTGCGATCACATGGCCATGGAGATGTGGGAGGACTATCAGAGAATTTTACATGAGTGTGATTTAGTAGACATGTTTCACTTCTTAGATATTGACAAAGATCCAGAGGAAGAGGAAGACATGGATGAGTACTATGGGAGTGAGGATGATGCAGACAACAATGATCTATAACATTCACAATGTATTGTAGTGTACATTGTACAACAAATGAAGATGCACTGCATATCAAAGAGTGATGGCTAAAACAAACAACTTGCAATACAGAATGACACATGAAGAACATGATTACAGCAGGTGTTAAGAACCATGTTGCTCAAAGGAGAGAGACTAACTCAGGGGGGCTTGGCCTCAGCTTGTATGCTGTGCCCCTTATCCGAGTATGGGCCCTTCATTTCATATGAGGTCCAATGATGGTCTGATGAAGTCCAGAGGACTTCCAGAGGCTGGCTACTCTGGTGGAGTGCTAGAGGACTTCTGGAGGAGCATGGGAGAATTCCGGAGGAATGCAGGAAGTGCTCAGGAGAGTTCCCACTGCAAGGTAATACTTCTACAGGAAACAGGATGGAAGGATGGGAGGTCTGAAGGTCCAGGGGACAGGAGGACAGGAGGACAGGAGGGCAGGATGATTGAGGACAGGAGGACAGGAGGACAGGAGGGCAGGATGATGGAGGACAGGAGGACAGGAGGACAGGAGGGCAGGAGGGCAGGATGACAGAGGACAAAAGGACAGGATGTCTGAAGGTACAGAGGGCAGGATGTCTGAAGGACAGGAGGATAGGATGTCTGAGGGTTAGGAGGATGGAACGTCCAAAGGACAGGACATTTGGAGGTCCGGAAGGAATAGGGGCTACATTAGATGAAGTCTGATGTAGAAGCAAACAGAGGTAGACTACCCTTAGGTAGAGTCAGAGAGACAGGAAGTGGACCAAAGTCCAGAAAGAGGGTAAGTGCCAGAAAGGCAAAGCTCCAGCCTAGGGAATCAATCCCTAGGCCTGATGGATAGGACAGACTTAGGTGGACCAAAGTCCGAGAGAGGATTGGGCAAGTAGAGCAAAGTCTAAGATGATATTCAAACTAAGGAAACTACAGGAGTATCTACAGGGGTTATATACTGGACAATATCTGAGGTGATCAGTAAGCAAAGGAGCAAGGCTATGTACAAGCATGTGGAAACACATTAGTAAGTAAAACAGAACATAAGTAAATGAACTCGGAGATGAAGACTCATACAAGGATCAATAAGCAAGTGTCATATGCCATTCTGGACTCTCAACTCTAAATCTGCTTCTCCAGATATCTGGATCCGAGATCCATATCTCAAATGATCTGATCTATCTTTATCTCCCTTCTGGAGTCCAAACCCTATATCAGTGCCCAACCCCATTTAGACTTCCCCTGTCTCTGGACTCTGGTTAACCATGTTTCCCTTTTGATTATTGATCTGTTACATACATTTCATTTCCGGTGTTCATTATTTGTGATCCGTCCTACTTACTAATAGACTTTGCATATGCTTTGTACATAGCCTTTATGTTTGCTGACTGATTCCTATATGATACCTACAGTATATAAATCTCCTGTAACTCTTGGAAATACTCCAGTTTGAATATCATCTTAGTTCCTGCTCATTCCTGTGTCCTCTAGACTTGAGATAAGTCTCTTGTCATATTCCAAGTCTTAGGATTGCATCCTAGACTACATTTCTGACTCTACCTTAAGGTAGTCTATCCTCTGTTAGTTTCTAGTCTAGACTTTGTCCAGATTAGTCTTATCCACTTGCCCAGGTAACATCCAGATGTCCATTATCCACCCTAGTCAAATCCCACAAACTCTGGACGACTGTTCTAGCCCCTGGAAATCAAGGGCACATACTCAGGAAAGGGGCACAGCATACGAGCTAAGGCCAAGCCCTTGTGATCCAACCCCCTTGAGCATGTGACCTTAACAGCAAGACGGAACAGGAGGTAACCAAAAGCTGGAAAGGCAGAGATGCCTAAATGGGGATAGGTGCAGGATATTGGACAGAGGGTGGGAATAGGTCTGGAGTTAATATCTGGAGGTCTGGAGATCTGGGGATCTGGAAGACAAGGTGGATACAGGACCAGGATATGAGAAGGTGGATATAGTCCGAAATCCGAGATGAGGTGAAGTCCAGATGTCTTGCTGGATGGAGTGTGCATAGGGTGGATGGGACAGGGTGGTATGGATCAGGCTAGCAGTGAGGATCCAGAGGTCCAGAGCTCAGGGGTAAATCCAGAGTGGAGTCGATCCTACTGAGGTGTGGAGCACACAGTGGAAGGGGATCTGGCAATGAGTCAGATATGGGGTCCAGATGTAGGCTCAGAAGGTGTGGGAATATTATGGAATGTGAGTCTGGATTGTGGGATATGACAGCAGGCCATAATCCCCCCTGGCAGCCTGGTAGATAACTGATTGCAGGTAAGGTAGATGATTCTTGAGCTTGCTGGACAAGTATGTGGCACAAATTGGTGGGCTCCTTGCAAACACATTCATGAGGGTGACCTTGTCAGCCAGCAAGATGCACTTGTCATCTTGCATCACAGCCAAGGCCTGTGATCTCTCATTCAATACACAACTCTTATCAGTGCTGGCCAGCATATATCCAAGACTGCCCATCAGGTGGTTTATGGAACCTTGAAGGTTCATAAATGCAGCAGTGCTGGCAGTGTCCTTGGTGGCCTTGGAGCCTGAGCATTGACCAGTGACATGTGACATGGTGCTGCCACCATATACTGACAACTTTGGCTTCTTGTTGAGGGTGGGGGAATCCATCTGTGATAATGAAGTTTGGGTGGTGCTGGAGGAAAAGAGCATGTCGGAATGTGAATGTTTTCTGGTGCTACTATTTGAGGCTGCAACTGAAGATGGGGGAGGGGGGGGGGGGGTTCATGGAACTGCTGGATATGATTCTAGGGTTAGTGGATGGAAGGGTGGACATGACTTGGTCCCATGCAAAGCCAGCAGCTGCAGGCCCTTTGCTACCAGTGTCATTGCGAGCACCAGGCATGCTAATGGCAAGCCCCATAGCAATGCTGCTGGCCTTGGTGCTAGTGGCAGCAACTGCTGATCCACTGGCCTCAGTGTTGGCCTCAGTGATGTGTTCTGAAGCCTGTGTGGCCAATGAAGCCAGGTTATAGGTGGCAGTGCCCTCAGTGCCACTCCCATTTGGCATGATCTCCAACATCTGGAGCCAAAATCTCCATCCAGCATTTTTGAATGGTTTCATTGTCTCAAAATAAAAGGTAAGGAGCAGCTGGAGATCTGAGCATATTTACATACCTTGTTGCTTGGGCTGGCATTAATAAATTGTTACCACTGAGTTTCTGCTACCTCCCCCTGAATATTAGTGCCATTCTCATTATCCCAATGACATCCTGATCGACTGTTCTGATATCTCTTAATGGTGTTGTGGGTCTGCTTCAGCTATATAGGGGTAGTGTTGATTAGTGATCAGTCACCAGCTGAGTAAGAGGATGGGGAACATACAGATTGCCATTTCATCTTGCAATGTGGCCCAGTCTTGGGTGGGCCAAGTGTTCTCAGTCCTGCAATCTTAGATTTCTGTGTGATCAGATACTTCAGGTATTTGTCCACTTCTGCATCATTCCAATGGGCTTTGGGTAGCTTGTTATCATCCTTTTGGGCCATATGCAGAAGTTCAAATCGAGCAGAGATTACAAGGGCAGTTACAGTTGTGAAGATCTGTCTTCGCTGCTGGGTAGTGAGTCAATGCTTGGTAGTACATGTAGGACTGTTCATAGTTGGAAGGAGAGATTATTAAAACTCTGACATACTGGCTTGCATGCTGCTCCTACACCCCGTTCCAAATATTGTTAAATAACAGTTGCTGAACAGGCTCTTAATGTGTGTCTCTACAGTATCTCCAACATAGAAAGCCATGCTTGACCTGTGCACAAATTTGTTCACACATGGACAACTATACCCCACACTTTCAAGAGTACTATGTTGGCAAGACATTTGAACACTATTTGCAAGAGAAGAAGAGGAAAAGACAACAGCAAATGAAGTAGTGTACAGGCATTATCTCTTATTGTAATTCACGGTAGAAAGTGTCCAAAGAAGGACTGATCACCTGCAAATTGATGGTGAATGGAACACTTGTCTACATATATTAAGCATGAGATGCTGCCAGGAATGGGTGCTATTGCATCCACCATGTCATGCTGTGTTGTTTTGCACTCATGATTCTGACTCCTTTTTGCTGCTCTTTGCTCATAACTATTATGGTGACATCCACTTCATTTCATGGTGTTGTTGGACTTCAGAATGGAAGCAGGTATCAGATCAACAAAAAGAATTATTGGTGATATGATGGCTTTATTGTGACTCCAGAAATAGGAGATGTTCATATCAATGTGTTTACTTTTGGTGCAAACACTGCTTCTGCTGAAGATAGCATCTATCTCTTGGATGTGAGGACAACTAGTATCGGTCCTATCATTGATGATGAAGGCAAATCAGCACATTCTCTTCATCTCTTTGCTAATGGTGTAACTATAATTCTTTCATGCTTGAATTGACTTATCCATCTATTTAAATAGGACCTACAACCTCTTCCTGATGGTGCTTGCACCTTTCCAACAATAATCATAGCAGGAAAGGTTTTGTGGGGTGCTTTTACACTCAACCAAGAAAATGGTTTTGATATGGATGTTTCTCAGTACATTGTGGGTCCACAACAAAACATGCAAGTTCACTGTTACTATCCCAAAGGACACCCCCATTTCTCTAAAACTCCCTTGCCCACTGCTAGCAAGCATGTCGTTGTTCAAGGCACAGTCCAAAGTATTACTGGAGATCAATGCGTTGTGACCATCAAAGATATTGCATTAGGTCCCTTGGATACTGTTACCACTACTGATAACAGATCTGAAAATGTTCCTGCTATTCATCTCAAGCAGTTCGACTGGGGAGGAGCACATAAGGACAAGGAGAAGCTGAAAGAGAAGGGGAAAGGCAAGGGAAAGGAGAAAAAAGAAGACATTGAAAGCAATGATCAGAATAAAGGTAAAAGAGCATGTGATGATGATGATGACAAAGATAGGGATGGTGAAGCATCCACCTCCATTGCACCTCACAAAGTTGCTTGCCTTTCCAAATAACACTTTCTATCTTGTATCTAACACTGAATTTTGATGGCTGTTCCACATGAAAAAGATCAATTGTGCAAGCATAGAGCATGAGCAGATTCTGTTTGTGCAGCAAGAGAAAGGCTGAAACACTGTCAATCAGTACAATGCTCAGTCAGTCTGCCAATTTTTGTCATGCAAATGTGAACAATCAATAACTGTACTTAGAATATGGCACACAGCATTTTTGGCTCACAATCTTGATTACCATCACTACCTTTGTTAACAGCAACCCCTGCTCCATTGCCTGCTCCTGCAAGACAGCCCACTCCTTCACCAGTACCTGTTTATTGGTGGACCCAGTTATGAGATCATCCACCAGCACCTATCACTCCAGCAACATGGAACTGACGATGTCCTCATTGCCATGCTTTACTATTAACTACTGAAGCGAATAGTTTTTGTTGTGGAAATGGCACAAGAGTTCTACCATGTTTGTGTTCACTTCCTCCACAAATGGGATACTTACTACAAGATGATGCATGCCATCAACATTTAGTTGAATTCAGTCATGTCATCAACAATTTATTTTCCTTCACTGGCATTGGGGCAGGTCCACCTGCAGTTGCCATCACAGGTTGTACATATCATCTCATTCGAAACACCAAATACACTGAACACTCCATACATTGGTTTTTATATGATGAATGCCAGTGCAAATTGAAAGCCCAACAATTTGGAGTCCATGGCATTGTTGTCCAAGCCATTAGTAATGACATTGATGGAGTCAATCCATATGTCCATCACCTGCACCATTTCCATCAATCTTCATGTCACACATGCTGCATTTTGAAATTAAAAGACTTTTCATCCAATGGAGACTTTGCAGCTGTCTGTTAAGGTCATACTCAAAGGGTAACTGGATCCAAAGGGCTTCGGCCTCAGCTCGTGCGCTGTGCCCCTTACCCAAGTATTGCCCCTTATTTCAGGAAGGCAAGACTAGCGTGTCCAGAAGGTTGGATGAGTAGCGTAATGGATCTGGATGACTTCCAGATGAGGGATAAGTATCGTAAGGCTAATCCAGACGAGTCCAGACTAGAAACTAACGGTAATGGACTGTCAGAGACAGAGGCAGATATGGATAGACTATAGGAATCAATCCTAAGTCTCAGAGGGTGATGAGAGTAGGGATACTCAAGTCCGGAGGACAGGAATGAGTAGAACTAAGATGATATTTGAACTGAGGTACTACAGAAAGTTACAGGAGGTTATATACTATAGGTACAGTGGCTCAAAAAACTGTCCACATGTTTTGACATTTTTCACTATCTATGATATTGTGTGAGAATGAACAAATGCCTCAAGGACATGGTTATACCACATTGTAGTATGGCTTCAGGGCTTTCATTTGAGCCCTACACCGTGGGAATCGGTGGAGATATGGTGGAGACATAAGGCTTACAAAATCATGACTCATGTGGACAGTTTTTTGAGCACATATTAAAACTATATAAATCATCATTTATGACACCATAACAATCATGCCACCATTAAATAAATTATAAAGTGGTGTCATTATGTCATTTTAAAACCATATCTAACTATACAAACCAAAAATTTCCATATGTCATGGTTATATTCACCATGAAAGCCACCCCCCCTGCTCAAAGGGATAATATCCTCTCTCTTTCCTATTCTGGCCTCTCTGCTTGTCAAATTTCCTCTAGAACTGGAGTATCCAAGTCCACTGTGGCCAAGTTCATCAAAGAAAGTCACACAGACAAGGAAAACTTCTGTGAAGGGCATCCATCCAAGCTCACCTCTACTGATAGGAGGGCTATTATTCAACATATCACTACAGGAAAGGCTGATAATGCTGTCCAGGTCACCTATTACATCAATTCCACCATCACATTCCCTGTCTCTTCACACACTGTGAGAAACATTCTCAAGACAGCTCATCTCAGGTCAGTAACAAGGAAGAAAAGGCTCTTCTCTCTATCACACATAAACAGAGATGACTAACCTTTGCCTTAGCCCATCAGAATTGGATTACATGGACTGGAAGCATGTTATATGATCATATAAGACCACAATAAATAGGATTGGGTCAGACAGCAAGGTATATATGTGAAACAAGAAGGGTGCTAGTCCTCTCTGCATATGTGTGATAGAGAGAAGAGCCTTTTCTTCCTTGTTACTGACCTGAGATGAGCTGTCTTGAGAATGTTTCTCACAGTGTGTGAAGAGACAGGGAATGTGATGGTGGAATTGATGTAATAGGTGACCTGGACAGCATTATCAGCCTTTCCTGTAGTGATATGTTGAATAATAGCCCTCCTATCAGTAGAGGTGAGCTTGGATGGATGCCCTTCACAGAAGTTTTCCTTGTCTGTGTGACTTTCTTTGATGAACTTGGCCACAGTGGACTTGGATACTCCAGTTCTAGAGGAAATTTGACAAGCAGAGAGGCCAGAATAGGAAAGAGAGAGGATATTATCCCTTTGAGCAGGGGGGGTGGCTTTCATGGTGAATATAACCATGACATATGGAAATTTTTGGTTTGTATAGTTAGATATGGTTTTAAAATGACATAATGACACCACTTTATAATTTATTTAATGGTGGCATGATTGTTATGGTGTCATAAATGATGATTTATATAGTTTTAATATGTGCTCAAAAAACTGTCCACATGAGTCATGATTTTGTAAGCCTTATGTCTCCACCATATCTCCACCGATTCCCACGGTGTAGGGCTCAAATGAAAGCCCTGAAGCCATACTACAATGTGGTATAACCATGTCCTTGAGGCATTTGTTCATTCTCACACAATATCATAGATAGTGAAAAATGTCAAAACATGTGGACAGTTTTTTGAGCCACTGTATCTAATGGAATGATCAATCAGCAGAGTGCGAGGCTATGTACAAAGCATGTGGATAGTCTATTGGTAAGTAGAAACGGATCACAAATCATGAAATGGAAATGAAACATAGGTAGCAGATAAGGGAGCAGGATGGATATACAGATAACCGAAATACCGGAGTTAGGGGGTTACCAAAAGGAGACAAGCACTGGTTGTGGATTCAGATGAGTTGTGGACCAGACCGGATGAGTGGAACAGATTGGATGACAAGATGTTGGAGGGAGATAAGATGTGGATCTGAGATGAGATAAGGGTCGGATCTGAGATCCAGATATGTGGATATGACACTGTCATGCATGCATCCAATTCTACCTCCATTAACCCTCACTCAATTGTAATCCAATGACATGGCAATCATGAGCCAGAATTCATCAACATCCTCTCACATCATTATGAACCACTCCACTATGTCCTTCTGTTCCCTCATGCAGACATAGGATGGGGTGTTGATGATCTACCTGGAATCCCTCACCTCTCACAGATTGAATGGTATTGCAGTCACTTGCTTGCCAATAATGACAATTGTTTTTCACTCTTTGGGCAACTGACATGTGAATATCTAGTTGACATGTATTCATGCATGGAAGAAGAATGACTGGCCTACATACAATCATCATTTTCATGGGCATGAAGTTCATGCCAATGATGCTGGTCATGATGACAAAGACAATGATGAAGAATTTCACCCCAAAATCAAATTACCCGCTAGCTTCATAGGTTCACAAGCTTGGTCATCTGAACAGACAGCAGATGCTATGGCTCTTGGTTGAAAATATGGCAAACCGAGTTTCTTCTGCACCATGACCTTCAATCCTGATTGGCCAGAAGTTCGAGAATGTCTGGAGCCAGGACAATCTGCTTCTGATGTCCCAGTTGTAGTCATGCAAGTTTTCAAATTGCACCTTGAGAAAGTCTTGCATTTTCTTCACACATCTTTTGGAACCAAAAAATATATGATCAAAGTCATTGAATTTCAGAAATGGGGCTTTCTGCATGCTCACATCATTATCAAGGTAAGCACACTGTGAATGATCAGGCATATTGCAATGAATCTGACAATCAAGTTAGGTGGGTCCTGAGCCACCTTTCGAATGCCTGGATACCATCATATCTGCAGAGCTGCCACACAATAATCCTGCACTTCATGAGAAAGTCGAGAAATACATGTTACACAGCCGGGATCATTTAACTCGACTGGGTAGCAGATGCAATCGAGATGGTCAGTGTATCTATGGCTTTCCCCAACATATACAACAATCAATGACGGTTGATGAGCATGGAAGATTACACTGGCAGCGACACAAAGATGAAGATATATGGGTAGTGTCATATTGTCCTGCACTCCTCACTTTGGCTGACTGTCACTCTTACTTTGACATTGTCTACACAATGTTACAATCGTGGTTACCTCCTATCTCTTTTTCCTCATACTTGTGTATTATGTCATGACCACACCTTGCTGTGCCATCATTAGACTAACCGCCTTCCATATCTGTATTACATTGCGACCGCCACGTGCTGTCGCTAGATGACTCATTCCCTTATCTCTGACTCACTTCCTTATCTCTGACTCAACTGATGACGCGCACATACCTGCCCTAAAGGACTTATGTCTATATAAACCCGGTCATGTACTTAGATAGACTTCACTTTAATCTACTAGGTCTTACCTGAACTATCCTTCGCTTAGGACCCCCAATCCTAAGTCGTCCGATAACCAATATTCAAGTCAGAAACACTCTCTCCGACTTGTCTTAAGAACCTTACATTTGTAAGGACACGATCTGGCTTCAGGCATGCTCTTATCGAGTACCTGTTGTCGCGCCCATCCTAGTTCGCCATAACAAAAGATTAAAGTCCTCTATCGACCCTCTCTATCAGAGAGGTTAGAGATCCCAGAAAGAACTCAGCGAGAGAACGACAACGTTCCCCTGAACCACAAACATCACTTGACCAGATGCTCAGGATGTCCACCATCCCCACCACCCCAGAATTGAAAGCTGGAGCTCCGTCTACTTATGATGGAAGCCCCCACCAGGCCCTACAATGGTTGTATGCGGTTAAAGCATACTTTGCGCTTAATGCTACGATCTATAACACCGAT